TGCTTCTGAAGTCTAAGAGGAAAGGCGAAATGTATCCACTGAATCTAAATCCTATCATAGGAATGCCTGCCATATGGATTCTTACGAAAGCATCTTCGGATGATAGTTGGTTATGACATCAAAGGCTCTCTCATCTCAACTTAAAGGACCTCAACAAACTCGTACTTGGTGATCATGTGTGAGGGCTACCACTACTGAAGTTTGAGAAGGATCATCTCTGTGCTGCCTGCGAACTTGAAAAGTAGAGTAAGAAGAGTCATTCAACTATAATCAACACCAAATTGATCGAACCACTTGAACTATTACATATAGATCTTTTTGGTCCTTCTGCCACCGAGAGAATTGGTGGTAAAAAAATACATATTAGTAATTGTTGATGACTTTTCAAGATTCACTTGGGTCTATTTTCTTAAACAGAAATATGAAGCCACCTCTAAGCTTAAGGACTTTATCAAGCAGATCAAACTTCAATTGTGAAAGTTAGCCCGTAATGTTCGTAATGATAATGATTCGGAGTTCAAAAACCAAGTGTTTCAAGAATTGCTGACTAAAAAGGGAGATTCACATAACTTCTCAGCTCCTTACACTCCTCAGTAGAATGGAGTCATTGAAAGATGAAACTAGTCTCTGTGCAAAGCTGTGAGGACCATGCTATCCTTTGCGAACATGCCACTACACTTCTGGGTAGAGGCGATCGGTACAACATGCTTTACTCTGAATCGATCACTACTCAATAAAAGATTTTCCATCACTCCCTATGAGATATTGAATAAACGAAAACCTAATGTCAAGTTCTTTCATGTATTTGGTTCCATGTGTTTTATCTTCAATTCTAAGGAGCAACAGAACCAAATTCGATGTGAAGACTGAAAAATGAATTTTTCTGGACTATTCTTTGACTTCTAAGGCATACCGAGTTCTCAACAAGAAATCCAAATGGATTGAAGAAACCTACTATGTCACGTTCGATGATAACTAGTTGAAGAAGTATCAGACATCCAAACTTCAATCTGAGATGATCTTTCCCATGACTAACCCAACGACGATTCCTATATCAAACCTTTACAAAGAATTCATGAGCCTGTTTGACGAGCCAAAAAAGCCGATCCATTTGGAATCAAAAGCAACAGATAACAAAGAAGATGAACTCAAGAAGATTATTGATGATGTTGCAAAGGATCTTGGAAACGAACCACCCAGTCTGAAGGCCTCTGAGGATCAACCATCGCCATAAGCTATGAATGCTTCTATTTAGGGGGGAGGATGCAGTTCCTGAAGTCAGCTTAGAACCGCCATTCCAAGGGGACGATTTAACTCCTCCAGACAACCACGAACGTCCAATCCAGGGGGTGCATTCTGTTCCGAATGATGAGCAACATCCATCATTCGAGGGGGGAGAATGAGAATCACAACAATGATTCAGATGCTCAGTCGGAGTATGAGGACGTGAATGTAGAATTGGATCGATCCTATGATCCAAACTATCCTTCTCTGACCAAATGGACCAAGGATCATCCTAAAACACAAGTAATCAGAGAAGCATATTCAATAATTCTTACAAGAGCAAACCAAAAGGTGAAGCAGACTATAATATTCTACAAGATGAAATTTTGCATGTTCAATTCGTTTATATCCAAGATTAAGCCCAAAAATGCTAAGATTGCTCTTGATCATTTTGATTTGGTGCAAACTATTTAGGAGGAGCTCAATGAGTTTGAATGTAACAAGGTTTGGAGACTGATTCCACCTCCGAAGGATGTATCGGTTGAAGGACTAAAATGGGTGTTTCGTAATAAGCTTGACAAAGAAGACAATGTGATAAAAAAAACAAAGCTCGATTGGTCGTAAAAGGGTATTGTCAAGAGGAAGGAATAGACTACGAAGAAACTTTTGCACCAGTAGCACGGCTGGAGTTTGTTCGCATCTTCCTGACATATACAGCTCATAAGAACTTTGAAGTCTATTAAATGGGCATCAAGTGTGCTTTTATGAACGGGGAACTAGAAGAAATGGTCTACGCGGAACAACCACTTGGGTTCAAAAACAAGAAATATCCAAACCACTACTATATTCTGGATAAGCTTGTGTATGGTTTGAAGCAAGCTCTACAAGCATGGTATGAAAATCTAACTCGGTCTTTAAAACAATCTAAGTTTAAACAAGGCTCAGTTGGCCCAACCTTCTTTCGCAAGAGAGTGGTGACCATCTGATGATCGTCCAAATTTATGTTGATGATATCATTTTCAGATCTACTAATCCTAGATTAACTGTTAAATTCCGAATCATGATGGAGACTAAGTTTGAGATGAGCTCAATGGGTCTGATTAACTTTTTCCTTGGATTAAATATTAGATAGAGTTAAGAGGGAATAATCATAAATTTGGAAGCATGGAAGCGCATACAAAGACATTACTTCCTAAGTTCAGAATGGTGGGAGATTCGAAGGTAAAGGTTCCAATGGCATTCAAAACCAAACTTACACTGTCATTGGACAAACCGGCTGCTGATATGACTCTCTATTAAAAAATGATAGTATCAATAATGTATTTAACTTCAAGTCTTCCAGACATTATTTTTTCGGTTTGCTATTGTGCCAAGTTTTAGGAAAATCCTCGCGAACCCCACATGACTGCTGTTAAGAATATCTTCAAACAACCTCGCCCAGAATTTGGTACCCTTCGAACTCAGCGTTCTTTGTGTAAGCATTCTATGATGTTGATCTTGGCGGTTGCGGTCTTGATAGAAAAAGTAAACTATGGGATGTGAATTTCTTGATGGCGAACTAGTTAGTTGACAATCAAAGAAACAAACATGTTTATCCCTTTCGACTGCTGAAGCTGAATATATCGCGTCTGCCTCTTGTACCTTGCAAGTGATTTGGACCCAAAGTCAGCTAAGGGATTATGGGATTAATATGAAGAGAATCCCTTTATATTGTGATTCTGAATGAGCAATTCGCATTTGCCACAACCCAGTGCAGAATTCCAAGACTAAACATATTGCACTGAGGTATCATTTCATAAAGGATTACGTCGAAGATGGCAATGTTGAAATTCACTTTGTGAGATATGCTAATCAATTGGTTGATATATTTACGAAAGCCTTACCTAAACAAAATTTCAATCGAATTCTTCAAGGCTTGGGTATGATAGAAGCTCACTCGGTTTCGAAACCATCTTCGTAGTTGGTAAGAATTCGTTGCGAATGGATCCGAACGCTCAGAGTAGTTCAAAGTATACTGTTCACGCTGTGAATTGGTCCGAATGCTCAAAGCCACCCGGACTTCACTATTCATTTGGAAATTCGGAACACTTTGTATCATTTGCATATTTCTTAATTCCTATTCATTAGTGTTTTTTAATGTATATTTTCTGTTTTTATTTCTTTTTTAGAAAATAAAAAATCCAAAAATATTTATTTTCCTGTTTTATTTATTTTTCAGAAAATCAAAAATTAAAAAATATTTTCTTTATTTTCATTTTTAATTCTTTTCATAGTAAAATTAAAAGACCAAAGAAAAAGTTAGACATTTGAGAAGGCTTAAAGGTACATATTCTTTATGGTCTCAATTCCGAAAGAATGGACAAGTATAAAATTATGAAACTTTGTACTAGTTAAGTGTCCTTAGAAGCATGTTGTTTCATGTTGTCCAAAGCCTCTATGACTTTATGTTTGAAGCCTTAATGAATCAATAATACCAATCATTTCTTCCCAAACAGGATAAATATTCACATAAGTCATTAAGCTACCTTACTCTTCTCATTTTGAGTTAAGAGTTGACTCGTTGGTCATTCTCGTATAGCAGAGGTACATCACTCTTCGCAACCACCTCCCACTCTTTCTCCGTCATTTTCGTTTCCATGAACGTAACCCTCGAGACTCTCAGACATTACCACTGAGGTTTATGGTTACACCACTTCTATATTTATGATCTTAAATTCGTTATTACCATGAATTGAGTGAAACCCAAAATCCAACACCAATTTCAGAGTTAACAGTAAACAATAAAATATGTTCTAGATTACTCACCATGGAATTGACGATTAACAACCTTTGTGGCTTATACTTTGGAATCTCTATATTTTTATTTTTGTGAGATCTTAATGGAATGTTCTAGACCTAAGACATTTCTACCCAAGAGATCCAGTCTTTATTTTTATTTTTTTTTTTGAGATTTCTACACTATCCAGCTACTCAAATAATTCCAAAGCATACTTGTAATAATGGCTACATTGGTCAAACAAGTACTTCTTCTAAACGTTTGGACTTACGTTGAGTTTCGGAGTTTGGTTGAAGATGAAGCCACCCTTAAGCTAGAATAAGAAGATGCCTTTCATTGTTTCTCAACAAACAGATAATCGTAATTCAACGGGATGACACACAAGCACTTACGAGTCTCTCTTGACTCCAAAGGAAGAGATCATTGTCCGGGATCCACCTGCTTTTATGTCAATTATGACATAGCAGATTCCCCCCCCCCCCCACACACACACACACATATATATATATATATATATATATATATATATATACATATATATATATATATATATATATATATGTATGTATGTATATTGATTTATTTTTTCTATCTTAGGCACACTCTTGCACAAAAATCCTTGTGATTTTCCAAAAAGTCTGGACTCAATAATTCTGAATGATTACTTTCAGATTCAGAGAACAGGAATTGGTGAACTATTACGAAAGTGCAAACTAAAACGGCGAGTTTTAAGGGATAATATTATGATTTTGGCACGTGAAAATTTTAAACAAGGCCTAACATCATGTCGCCTGACACACGCCAACATGTCACGCCTTTCCAGGTGCTTTTTTAGGGATTGTGGAGCGCCAACCGCTAGATTTCTCTCACCACTCGTGAGGAATAAAAAGCAGATTGACTATTCATTCCAACTTACCACCCCCAAAAATTTGAAACTTCTGGTGCATGAAAAACCTTTTTCTCTCTTAGTACTGTTCATCATCTTCTCTATCAAGTTACCATGGCTTCTTCATCCGAAACTCCATCCGTTGTTGATCAAACCACTTCATCAGGCCTACTGAGCATGAAGGCCAACCAAAATCTCATATTGGACCTCGATCCATCCAAGTATGAAGCTTTTCTCCAGCCATTGATCGAGTTCCTGCGACACTCTCCTTTGGCTCAAGCTCTTCCGATGTCAGAAAATGCTCCTTTGGCTCATCTATCAAAAGCTTTCTCTACAGCTCGCTACCAGGAAAGTGGGTCGATCATTACTTTCAAGACTGCTGCTCAACCAACCTCCATCACCAAGGCCCGATATAGCAGGTTGCTTGGGTTTCCTACTTCTAGGGATTTGATTGATCCTGAATCTGTCTCTTCTTCTGCCATTTTGGAGATGTTCTACCAAATGAGTTATCTAGAAAATCTTGTTATATTATCCAAGTTCAAGAAGCCCAACCTTCCACCAATGTGGAACAGGATATTTACCCTAATTTTTAGAAGCTTCCCAGAAAGGGTAACGGGTTCAAACAGTTCTAGTAAGCTCTTCCTCATTATTCTTGATGCGGTCAAATAGCTACACCTAATTTTACCTCTTAATCTACTAGCTAGTCGACCCATGGCAGTGTACCTCGTGCAAATAGTATAGCACAAAAGTCGGGTATCGTTCACAGGGAACGATATTAATTAATTAGCCTACTTCCTATTAAATTAATCTAAAATTCTAACAAAGATAAAAAAGGGTTTTTATCTAATTTTGCAAGTTTAGATAAACTTAATTTCTTAACACAATTCCATCAAATAACAAAAACACTTATGTTAGTTTGAATCCACCTTCTCTCAATGGTTTAACTATTAATTATGACAATTCCTGTTGGTTACCAATGGAAATATTATTAGCAATTCAATTACAAATTTACTAATATTTAAATAATTTATGTAGAGTTATGTATGGAGTTATATAAGATTGAGTTGAATAACACAATTATATATGGTCATAATATAAGTTCTCTAGCATAGCCAAGTTCAATAATTCAACTACTTATCTAAGATTGGTTCGATCTTAGCTCTAATAATTTAATGTTCACTAAATTACTAGGTAATCAAATTCATGTTGATTAATGGTCACTAACTACGCACAATAAGAGTTTCAAGTAATCTAGTATCAAATCAATCATGCTAGGTTGTAATAATCAAACAGAAGACTTTAATAAACAAGAAAAGTCTAAGTCCATATATTCAAACCATGAGTTCCAACTTCATCTAGCTAACGGAAGAAGATAGATTTAGCTACTCATACTAACAATTAAACTAAAACAAGTCATAATCGAAAGCATAGTAAAGTACCAAACTAGAAAGTAAATTATGGTCTTCTCCTTCTTCCCTGGTATTAAAACCAAATTCCTAGCCTTCTGAACCTCTAAATTCAACTTCTTCAAATCTTCTTCTTACCAGCCAACCTATCAAATTTGTAGGGATCAAGGGTATTTATAGTTGTCATGAAATTACATTCCACGTCGTGGAATAGGGCTCCACACCGTGGACCTCGACGAATCCTTATCGAGCAAGGATTTCGACTTTATGCGTACTCAATTTCCAGAATTTTCCCTTTTCCACGTTGTGTAAGTGATATCCACGACATGGATATAGCTATTTTTGTAGGCTTTATATTCCAAGCCTCCAAAGTTTCTTCTTTTTCCACTTTTAGTCCTTCTTCTTCAAAATGACTTATTTTGGCTGAAAAATACAATTTAATCTTATAAATACCATTATTCCACCCAAATAACTAAAAATATGTATTCAAATATTGCCTAAAAGTATGTATAATTGTGACAATATCAAAATACCCTACACTTATTCTTTGCTTTCCCTCAAGCAAAACTATTTATTTTTAGGGAAAATGACACAAATGCCCTTCGAAAATTTTAGGGTTTACCCGCTAGTCCTTAAAGTTTTTTTCGGACTTTATGGGTCCCTATACTAGGATATAACATGCTATTTTAGTCCCTGTCAACCTGTAATAGCCGGTTAAGTGACATTTTAGACTAAAAAAACTCATATTGTGCCCCGATAAAGCCAAAAAAAATAATTTTGGGAATCAATAAAAATTGAGTGTGAATCAGCTTTAGAAGAAAAGAAGAAATTTTTGTTGAACGAATTGATCCCCGAACTTATTTTTTTGGTTTTATAGGGCCATCATGTGAGTTTTTTTTTGTCTAAAAGGTCACTGAAACGGCTATTACATGTTGACATAGATTAAAAGAGCAGGTTATATCCTAGTTTAAGGACCTATAAAGCCCGAAAAAAACTTTAGAGACTTAACGGGTAAACCTTAGAAAATTTGTAGGGAATTTGTGTCATTTTCCCTTATTTTTAATATAAACCTTCACCACTAGCATCACATAGAACAATCCATTTCCATCTCAGCCATTATACCAAGACCTCAGTGCATATATTTGTGTCTATAATTCCTAAAACTTCCCACTTCTAAATACGCACAATCCTTATGAACTTTCACCCCTTAGTTTATACGATACTCATTTTTACGACCCTCCGAATCAATCTTCAGAACTCTTTCTTAACCTCAAGGTTTTTTTTGGTTAAGCTACCCAAGCATACATAATCTAGAAATTACAACTTTAGATACAACAATGTAGCTCTTGGAATTCTTCACTTCTTTGATATTTGATCTTTGATTCGTTTGAATTTATCACCTTTTTGTTTGATTTTTGGTGTCTTCAAAATTTTTTTTCTTTGGAATTTTGATCTTTTGATCTTTTGATCTACATACTTGATAGCTCCAAAACTCTTCAACTTTTCGGTAGTTTCTTTTTTTTTTTCACATATATCTCACTTTTTTCACTCAAATTCTACATGTTTAAGCAAGGGTGCTTAAATTCAACCTTTATTGGCTAAAGGTATTAGTCTATGTGTAATGACTACAAAGCTTTCCTGAATAGATTTCAGGTTTAGGCTGCAAAACATATTATGCCATATAAACTACCAGATTACCTTTTCATATCTCATCGCTTTTCATTAAGACTTGGGAAGACACAAATATACTATAACATGTATTGGCTCGATTAAACATTTGAGCTCTCATTGGATCATCCCACATAACACTAGAAACTTAAGTCCAAACTAATTATCACTAGATTTAATTTTTAGATTATTATTTCAAATCCATTCCTGAATTTTATTTCTAAATTTTTAAGTTTTCTAAATTTCTAGCAATTTACTTTTTCAACCCCCTACCCCACACTTATTACATACAATGCCCTCATTGTATGCATAAAAGAAATTAAAAGCAAGAAAAGGGAGAAAAAGGAATAGACTACCCTGGGTAGTAGTGGCGAGATCGAATTCTTCACGTGTGAGTAACTTGAGCATCTTGAACTAGGATTTCTTCAAATATGGAACTTGGAATTTTAAGAAATGAGATATGTAAATGTGCCAACAAAATTTGAAATCGAGACTTCAATCTTCAACAAATGTGATGTAGAAAACCTTCAAAACATAAGAGACCAATATGGGAAAGCATATGCCACATGGAATGGTGTAGAAAAGAGGGAAAATTGAACTTCTACATTCCACATCGTGGTGTAGAAGTACATGATGTGGTATCGAATAATTTCATTTTCTGGAATCGCATATTAAACTCAATCCACGACGTGTAATTGGTGTCCATATGATGGAAACTGGGCATCACAAAAAGCACTTTTTTCTAAATGAGTATAATGTGAACTTATGTCTTAACATATTAAGACCCTTCTGAACTGCATATATCTTGACTCTATCCTAACTTGGTTCTCTCTTGATTAACCCCACACTCATCTAAGATTGTGGGTCTCGACTCTTAGACTCTAAATGACACGACTAATCGTGTTAATGCTCTAATATCTCTAAGGTTCCTTAGTCGCGTTTTTCTCTAACCAATTCTGAAAAAAAAATAACCAAAAGAAGTAGACAAGAAACATAACAACTTAAATAGTCGTTACACAACCAAATTAAACTAAAATCAAAACAAACAAACCAAAAATAAACTAAACCAAATAAAGAAATAAAAGGAAAAATTAATCATCTTCTTCATCATGATGTGCTCCACTAGTTCCGGCACCATCTCCTTGTCGTGAAAATAATTCTTCCCACATTGGAATGTACGTGCATTGGGGAGGCATCGTAGGGGGTATAATCAAATTCATATGAGTAAACATGGTTTCTCGAATTTAAGTGTTGTAAGTTACTCCCCCGCGAAGATTGTCCAAATACAAACCAACCTGACTTTCAAATGGGTCGGTCGGTATACCGCCCTCAAACGGTTGGAGTGGTAGTTGTGGTTGTCCCCATTCTCCTTGACCTCTCACATTCCTTCGCCTTGGACGAGGTTGTTCTTCTTGTTTCCCAATTTGTTGCTCTTCATCTTCTGGTGGTATTACATAGAGTCCTCCCACATTCACTACCACTCGCATGACACCCAATACTTAGATAGTTAAGTCACTATCCTGAAAGCGCGTGAGATTCCTAATAAAAAAAGGAGTCAAAATGCCATAAGACCGGGCAAGTCGGGTGACTAGATGTCCACCCGTGATGGGACTAGTAAGTCTAGAGTTGGTCGCTTTTCTACCCATAAATTACGCAAGCATATACAGAAAATAGATTCCTCCACCCGTTTCAAGTAAATAAAAAACCATTCCCCATAAACACTTTTGTCCACCATCTCTCCAACTCCGTAACCATACTGACCCGACGTAACCGCGCCCAATCCACAGTGGGAGAAACTGGAAACTCACGATTATATAACCATCCCAAATGATTTTCATAATTGTTCAACATTGCACGAGAAATATTTTGCGGAAACCGGTATAGCGGGTGAATACTCGCCACATCATTCGGGTCTTAAGGTTGGGGAACTGTCCTTCTAGGACCCATTTTTCGTGAAATAACCAAAAAAATAGAAACAAACCAAAACAACCAAGATATCAAATTATAAGGCAAAACAGAAAACCGGTTGCCCAGTCTCCACATTGTAGGTTTCATCTCCATGTCGTGGACCAGGTCTGAGACATGGTTCTGGAACGGGCCATCTGCGGTTAAAATCAATCATCAATCTTTCTTAGGGTTTGTTTATTTCAACAATTTATGGCCTTACATTACAAATTCATTCAAAATAACCAACTAATGAAATCAATTTTGGGTTTTTCATCTCTAAAGAAACCCTAACTTCTAAATGCATAAAAAGTGAAGAAATCAATGGTGGGTTTGAGTTTGTTCGTCATTGTGCGTAGTAAACAAATAAGGAAATGGTCAAAGTGTTTAGTTGAAAACTAGTCCCCATCCGTGTTTTAAAGTCCACGTCGTGGATCTTAATTCCACTTCGTGGGTCTGTACAGTGGGCCTTATCTTTTCGGGCTACTTATGTTTCCACGAAGTGCGCTTGTAACCCACGACACGGAATTGAAAAGTATAAAAAAATCACTTTTAATGTCCAATTTTAATATAAAAATCTTAATTTATTTACCATAAATTTTTTTAGAACCCCACACATGATTTTCACCAATTCCTTTAGTAATTATAATA